TATGTATGTTGTATGTTACATATAATAGCTGTTGTCGCCAATGTCAGCGCCAAGCAGTGCATGTGTGCGTACGTGTAGGGTGTCTGTGATTTATGCTAGCCGAGCTGGTCGCGTATGCCAAAAGACAGCTAGTTTGCACCATAATTTCAGACACAATTTTATGTTATAGCGCGAAAATACGATGATTCGGCCCAGCCTACACTCACCCACACAATAACACGCGTTCACACCATACACTCATATACCACTCAGTCACAACTCTCTTGCTCTGATGCTCTCACACTCTCGCGCTATCATGCTCTCATGTTCTCATGTTCTCTTCACTTTGGCTCAGTTGCTCGCTCGCTCGTTCGCTCGTTTGCTTGCTATTCGTTACTGTGGTACAGTACGGTTTGCTTTCATTGCTGTTTGTGTTACTGATTCGCTTTGCTTTTGCTTTTGCTATTGCTATTGCTTCTGCTTTTTAAATTACTTGCCTTGTGCTTTAACATTTGCTGTTTATGCGTCTCATGCTTTGCTTTTGATGCTAGAGAACATTCGCATATTCTTTGTTTAGAATGAACCAATAAACAAAATTCGCTCAACAGTCGGCTAAATTATTGCAATTAGGGATGACAGCGTGCTGTACAATAAATCGTGACACGACATTAAGGAACATTTGATGTTGGTGCATGAATATTTATTCACTTTAATTTTTAACATCTTATAGAAATGATAATGGTTTATATAATGATAAGTAATAAACATTTCACTTGCATTGACTAAGGAAAATAAAAATAACGTTGATTTTTAATATTATTTGAACATTTTCTAATTAATCACTCGTTTCATTAATACTTATGAATATTGTTGCGCTTTGCGAAGTACTAATGTATAATTAGGCCTGCGATTCCCCTTAAGTCAAACCATTCCTAGTTTACATAGTAAAAATTTTAAGTAAATAGATTCACCTCTGTGGTGTCACCGCTGATCTTGCGACGCTCCACTGACAGCATATACTGAATTTTGGATTGCATAATCATTGCATTCGAGAGAGGCATGCTCCTTAGTTGGGCTGCAACGCTGAGTCCGAAGAACATAAATTCATCGTCGCCCAGCGATGGTAGCGTCCGAGTTCGATCCAACAACGCAGAGCTTACAACCGGCGTAGGGTTGACTTCGACTGGGGAGGAGGGTTGGGCTGGTGGCGTTATGAACCGCAACGGGGGTGGCGGACTTTGATTGGGCATTACGGATAGAGCTGTTGTGGGTATAAGCACCTGTTGATCGGGCTCGAGCTCCATTTTAATTTCGCGCTTCTCTTCGGACTCCAATGGAAGCAGCTTGATGGTCTTCAAGCGAGGTAGCTTGATCTGCAAACGCTTTAAGGGTGGCGTGTTTACCAGCACTATATCTTCGTCCGATTTCTGCATATACGAAATACATACATTCATACATATAAGCAATGTAAATTGCCAAAATTTCGCTTTACCTTGTCCAGAAACTGTGCCAGAAGCTTGTGCAGTGGTGCAAACCAGGGAATTTTCGGCGTATACTTGGGATTTGCTCTGATCTTTTTCAGCTCCTGATGATAGCCCGTGCGCAGATTTTTGATTTTCATCTTGACACCCTGTAGGGTAATCGGATTCTCAGTGGGTTCCACCTCGGCATTAATGCCCATTTGGATGCGCTTGTAGGCGGCATTGCGAGCAACCCAGAGCTGGGGCTGACGGTTCCAGAGGCACGGCTCACGGCTGTAAAGCTCCACGAACTTCATGTGACGCTCGTCGGTGAAGCGAAATGGTAGACCGCCATTGCTTGACATGTGAATGGGTGTTTGGCAATGGCAGTAAATGGGAGAGCAAAACAAAACAGAAACAAAAAAAACCGTTAGGCGACCGCGTGTTCACAATGCTCGCTGAGAACTGCGGCCAGCCGATTGTTGCTTTGCTTTGCTCTGAGCACCTTTTGCTTTGTTGGCGTTCGGCTCTTGCTCTTGCTCTTGCTGTTGCTTTTGCTCGTGCTGGCTTGCCAAAGCTTTCGCTTTGCTTTTAGCTTTTGTTCTATGTCGCAGCTCACACGTTATCGTGCTTTACAATTCTCTTTCAGTCAATTGAGAGATGAGGAAGACTGGGCAAGTGGAGTAGATTTGTAGAGCCGCTCTATCGATAGTTGATAGCAATCGATTAACGCCTAAACTTGGGGAAAGCAATTGGCGATTTCACATACATCTGTATACATATGTATGTTTGTATGTGTTTATACATATAAAAGTTGTGTTTAGTCTTGCTTTAGTGAGTTAGTCTATTTAGGTAAGAGAAGAACGGCAGAGGCTATACTGCTAATAATCGATTACCGATAAAAATGTTTTATATATGTACATATGTAGGCTTTGGAGCTAATTTGCATGCCTGAGATAAGCTGATTAGTCAGTCATA